ACTCTTTAAAACATAAATTGCAGCTACAAATATCCTTGTTTAAGACAAAATGCCAACACTTTAGTTTATTGACCAACAAAGCAAGCAAGAGTTTCCAAGGGGAAAACCCAAAGAAAAATTTAACATCCATAACCAAGTAATGATGGTGAAAAACCTTAATGTTTGCTTAAAAATTTCCTAGAATAACAGAGAAAAATAAGACAAATCTTTAGTTAAATAGTTAAAATTTTGCACAGGTAATTTCACAAGTGAGGCTACAGTCTGTGTCATTGCGCACCTGTAATCCACTATTCATTTCTTGGTATTTTGAATCAACTCCGCCGTTGTGTTCTGCTGCTGTGGGTTGTCATATGGGTCCCAAAGTGGTTCTGTTTGTGATTGTGTCTGTCAAAAGAAGTTTTACTGTTAAACCAAAATAGTATTGATGTTGTTGTTTGTTGTGATGATTAGCCTCAGCTACTGGAGCTAAACATCTTGCCCCCCGCACATAATAGACAAGTAAGCGTTTAAACGAAAACTAATGGGAATAATTAATTTCAGTGTTCCTCGGCAAAATTTATGTTGGCTGTCTGGATTTGCATTAGTCACATTACTTCAATTATATTACCAGGAATAATTGGATTAACTGCAGCTGTTGAGTACTGGAAACACAATACACTGTAATTCAAACAAACAAATTAGTTATTTAATTAAATTGGAGTAACTATGTGCTCTCTTTAATTTTAGTGGTCTGCTTCTGATTGAAATTAAAAAGACAACCCTGCATGTTATTTTTTAACTTAAAAAAAAACTTAAATGAACTGTGTCAGTAACAAGTCCCATCCTGTGGGGGGCACTAAGCTAGTAACTGTTTGCTGGGTCATCTCCAGTGATGCACTATTGACTTACTTATATTACAAATAGACAGCATAAATTGTAATATAGTGTAGTGTCATGTAGAATACTGCAATACCTACAATATTTGAACAATGTTAAATATTTGTCTTATCTCTTTGAGCTCTCTCCTCTCTCAAAAATAATCTGGATTTTAAAAGGTAATATACAGTAGGGTCACACTGCTGGCTGCAGTTCTCTGTTTTCTGCCTTCCTCAAAGTGCCTTTACAATCACGTAATTTAACAAAGCCTCTTCTCTATCTGGTCTAAATATGGTGGAAAGAATTATTACCAGTCTAAGAAACAGGCCTTTGTGGTACAGAGCTTTTCATCCATGATAGTGTGTCTGCAGACGGAGCTCTCCCACTCTTACACAGCTCTGCGGAGATCAAGGTCTGTCTCACAGTTGTAATCTCTTAAAAATAGAACAAAATCTGACTACAGCTCCCACTGTCTCCAATGTCCATACAGAAGTTATTGGAAAAAATGATTGGCTGTGGACAGAGTAAAAACATCTGTTGAAGGCACACAGAGACAGACACAGCGAGAATGTAATGCCCAAAGTCAGCCAAATCTTTTGTGTCTCCTCTTTTGAACCATTGAAAATCATGTGTTCCTTAACATATAATTTTACCCCTATTTCATGCCTGTTCACAAGGTCAGCCCCAAACTGATAATAAAAAGCCTCCACTGTTACTGAAGATATAAAACACTCTGAGATTAATCCTTTTGTAAACAAATTTTGGAATCACATATTCTTAACCTATTTAAGTTTNNNTTTTAAAAAGTTTTTTTGTATTTTTTGATTTTGTAAAATTCTGACATTTGCTTTGATTTCACCAGTGATCTTCCTGTTGTAGAGGCAAGTGTTCTACCAACATTTGCCACTGTGTGGCCCTTGTTAAGACAGGCACCTAAAAACCTATTTGGAAAGTGCTGTATAAGTTAAGTTTATTCATCAAATTGAAAAACATGCTTTTTCCTTTTACATGCATGTGTTTAGACATACAGTATGTTAAATCTATACAAACAGGTCGACCCCCTAAAGAAGTGCTCTCAAGTTGCTAAAAACTGCTTTTCATTGTGCCCCCCGTGGCTGCTGTGTTTAAAAGAGCTTACGTCTGCCCTTTCGCTGACACTTTCTTACTGCAGGAAGTGCATTAACTATAGTCAGATGGATTTGAAGGCTCTGTCAATCTATACATAAAGTACATGCAAAGAAAAGCCTAAAGCATGCCTTGTTTTGGTTTGTTTTGGAATGTTTGCTTTCTTATTGTTTTGTTCTTAGGTTCAGAGCCTTGTGACATTGTTTCAGGGAGAGTTTGTAATTTGGACACCACATCTCTTTCCCAGCTGAGTCAGCCCTAAAAACCTTCATGTTGTTATTTCTTTATGGACATAATAAATTACTAAGGAAGTGATTCTGCAGTCCAACATAAATCACAGTAAAAGAGAGGAAAAAAGGGGAGACCCTCTCTTCTGTTCGTCTGGAGTGCTGTTAAAGTGCACCAGCAGCTTTGGATTTGACCTTCACTTGAGGTTCTGTCAGGTTATAATAATGTGCATATGCATAACAACAAGTCACTGACGTCAGATGAAGCGAAGGGTTTTAGGCTGTGTCCGACTGAATCATTTTGAAAAGATTAGCACATGCTTTAGTCATGATGTGCTTTGATGGAACACGGTTTTTCATCGCCCTGTTTGCTTAACATGAGCACGACATGTGCTGCATGGAACGTGCAAATGTTCAATGTGTTAATGGAGGTGTCACTTACTCATCTTTGGCCTGGATACAGCTAGTCATAATTGTATTGGCAGAGCCGCAGCCTGATCAAGAGAAGGAAAACACAGGACTCAGGTAAATAGAAAATACAAACATCCCCACTGTCACACAACACTGTTTTGACATGTTAATGGAGTTTTTTTTTCCTTACAGTTTTCCACTCAATACTGTACAAATGAACATACAAGGTAAAAATATAAAGGTAAGTGTAAAAGTTGTTCACATGGTAGTAAGTGTTGTTCAATCCCATCTAAGGCAGTGAATCCTGTGTAGGTTTTTCTGGTTTCTCTGTGTTTCAGTGTTCACCCTCAGTCCGAGAGGATCCAGACTGTATTTGCCTGTAGTCATGTATTTGGGTTTGGATGATTGTTTCTGTAGAGTCTGTTTGATTATGTTATATTTGATTTTTGTAATTCACTTTGTACTTCAGATTTCTAGTACTTAAGTGTAGAATGTAGTAGTACAGTTTATAGTCAATAGAAATTGTGTATAGCAGAAACAGGCACAGGGAATTCCCCCCGTGCACTTTACTAGCTTCCTATCAGCTTAGCTGCTGACTCACAACCAACTCCCCTAGGGGCTCCCCTCTGAACAAACACCCACACATAATGTGCACACAAAACCACAACTTTGCAGCTGACACGGCCCAATTCCCTCGCTACAGATCAATGGTCTCATCTCACCGATTCCTTTCTTTGCGTCTGACACTGCAGAAAACGAGGGATTGGCTCATTTCGAAGAAACTGAATCTCCAGAGAGATTTGTTTTTTGGAACCTAATCGGTGCTTTATCTTCAGCGACTCACTTACCGAATGACAGTTTTGGTTCCTGCAGCTTCCGAAACACACACTGAACCAAACACAACAAAAATGGAAGTTACACAGAAAGGAAGAGCCTAACTTAAAACATCCGGTCTGTCCAAGAGAGCTTGTATGATGTAGCGACAAAAAGAAATGGCTCATTAAATTAATACATTTACTTACTTAGTATGAGTGTGTTAACAAGATAGCCACGTTAACTAGAAGCCTGAGCAACATTTTCTAAAATTTGAGATTAAAAAAAGTATTTTGTTATTAAGACTTTTGTAAGAGTATAACAGATTTTAGTTTATATAAACTATGCCAAAACAGTGGCCCTGTCTTTTTATGTAGCCTCGACTGGTTTAGGTTTCAGTCTATTTTAATTAAACTGTTTCTAGGTCTGTACAACAGCTTTTGAATTTTTGTTTTAATTTTGTTGAAGTATTTTTTTCCCATGAATTTTGAGAAACATTCTTTCATGTCAACGGTTTCCTTGCATCACTGACACTGCTACACTACAGTATAAGAAGAGGAAGTGGCCTCCCCTCTCTCCTTTTCAGTATTAGTGTGTGTTTGTGTCTGTGGACTTTTTTAAAAACAATTTTACTAAGAACACTTTTCAGCGAAAACTAAAGGGTTTCCATGGTTTTGTCATTTTTTCAAGGTAGACAATATTTGGTATTTCCCAGTATGTGTAATGTGTAATATCTAATTTGGAGAAAACATACCAGCCAATTTAGCTTGTATGTACAATATATACAGTAAGTCTTTGAAAAACATGTTTTAGACTCTACTGCTACTGTGAATAAACCACAGCACCAAAGAAAATAGTAATTTCACAAGCTTCAAAGCTGCCATTTATATATTTTTTTATTGCATTTAGTATTTTAGCACATACACTATTATTTTGGATGGCAATAAAATTACTTTTTAATGCAAACATTAACATGTACGTAATCACCTTTATTTTCCCTGCATTTAAGACACGTGTTAGTATATCTTATCAGGACCCACATTGACTAGTATTTATAGTATGGCTTTTTAGTGACACAATCTTTTACATTCATAATAAATCTGGAATACTGTCTCTTATCATTCTGAGCATGCTCTCTGAAAGCCAGGCTAAAATGAACACTAAAATAAATACACGAGTTTTCGAGTTCATTTAGCTCATTTTTCACAATTTTAAACCATACGGATGCGACCAACCCTGGTCACATAGCAACACAAACCTCTGCGACCAATCGGGTGATGAGTTTCCTAGGCGCATTGATATTATAACATTGTGCTTTAGTTTAAACGTTAGCTTTATGTGAGTATGGATAAAGACATAGACTTATATTTGGTTGGTTTATTTTGTTTGGATGTGTAGTTTTTTCTACGTTACTTTAAAGCTAAAAACCCGCCTTGTTAATGAAACTTTGAACACGGGGTAAGAGGGACTGTGTTATGTCGCGGCTGTGCATGTGTTTCGGTGGGTCGTACTTCGGAAGTATATAGCAGGTGTGTCCTAGACTGAGGGTACGGTTCAAACACTTAGTGTCGTCAGCAGTGGAAGCTAACTACATGAGTAGCAGTGACCTTCTCTCTTTGCTACCGGATAATGTGGAGGCGTCTGCCCGAATGACAAGTTAACGTCTTCTTCATTTTGGACTTCGAAGGCTTCCAGAGCTCACACGTTTTAAACAAAGGTAAAACTATTACACAAACTTTTAAGAGGTAGTAAAACATCATGCTCGTAGAGTCGCTAAATGAATTGTGTAGCCCCGGTTTAAATGGGATAGTGTTTTAAATTCTAAGTAATTCCGACAACATTAGCTGGCGTGACTTTGCAGGAGGAAATTCTCGCCATTTAGAGAGACAAACAAAATCATTAACAACACGTGCGTTTTTAATGCATATTTTGATTTAAAATGTAATCACTTGTTTTAAAACGCACGATTCAACAGGACAAATAGAACATTCTTAGAGTAGTAATTTATTATTCGTAGAGTTGGTGGAAAGTTCCAGAAATTGGAAAAGTAATGTTCCAGGCAGACTAGCGCATGCTGGGAGTTGTTTCTGGAAGGCTCACGCGCTTGGTGCATTTAAACGATGAAAGAAGAGCAGGTTGTCTCGTGCTCAAATTTTTCTCCGCGCTTGTGCTCAATCTGTCCCTGATGACGAAAGCAGCTGAACCACATTTTTATAAAATGTCAACACACGTTGTTACAATTTAGTATTTGTTTTATTGTTTGAATTGCGTAGCAACTGGAAAATAACCAAATCTTTAAAAAATGTGAATGGGATTAAGTTAAGGTTTACGTATGTTTAACTTGACATTAAAGGTTAAAAATACACAAATTCATGTTAATTTATGTTGCAAACTTGGTTGCAGTACTCTTTTGTGCGGGTACAAGGTGGAAATGATATACAACTCTAATTTAAGATGTGTATAGTTGAGGCCGTAATGGACTTTTTTTTTCTTCTTTTTTTTGCATTTGGTAGTTTGGAAATGTCTTTCCCAGTAGGTGTTAGTAATGCAACGCAAAGGCTCACTGAGTCATTTAAACACCGTGGAGTAAAATTATCTTGGTGTAGTTTAGCAATTTAATGTATAAATAAATTCTTCAGTAAACACGTTGTAAATAAGCAAATTATTCAAAGCAAGCATGTGATCTTTAGTTATTTTAAATTTAAATACTCAAATAAAATGTAATGTTTTGTTTGCTAACCATCAAAAAATGGGGCGAGGATTCTGTCATTGCACTGGTACAAGAAATTGTTTCTGAGTTAATGTTTAATCAACTACTCAATTAGTCAAGTATGTTCTGTTGTTCACTAAACAAGATGTGTGACTACAGGATTCTGAATGTGAATATGTAAAACTATGATAGAAGGGCAGCCAATAGAAGTGCTCTACATAATTAATTGTAAATTATTTATTAATCAATGGATTACTCAAAAATGTATTGATCTATTTTATTTTATTTTGATACTTTTAGTTTAAAATTGTATGTACTTGCTGTCTTTTTGTAAGTTAGTCAACAATCCATTTGATGCGTGTGCATATTACACAAACGTCAGGCGGTGTGTCAGTAAATCCACAACCCCATTTGCATGCCTACAAAAACCCTGACAGAACAACAGGTACTATCCTTTAAATGTTCTCTTTAGTCTGACTCATGTACTGATGATGAAACCGTTTGACAACATATTTAAAGATGTAATTATGTCCATCTGTTACTGTTGTGGTCCTTCAATTGCATAGCAACTGTTAATTGACCAAGTTAGAGCAAAATAATATATGCATACTTTTTGGAGGAGGGTTTTCTGGTTTAATCATTTTAATGATTATCATTGTCATATAGAAAAATTATATATTTTCAGTGTGTATTATATAAATAATTGGGGTTCACAGTAATTACCAAAAGTATGCATTTGAGCATAGATCTACTTACATTTTTTTAAAATTGTTTTACATACACTTTGAAGCAATAAAACATTTTAGAACTATCAACCTAATTCTTATTGATTTATCCTGCCCACCATGTGTTTATTTCCTGTGGGGACATCAAATTGGTAACTGAATAATCTTAAAAGTAACAGGGTTTTTTTTTTTTTTTTTTTAATATACATTACATGTTTTCTGTTATGGCACATTAGTAAAAAGTCCAATGTTTTGTTTTTTTGTCTTCTCCTGCACTTCTAGTTAAGCAGAATTGTGCTAGAAGATGGATACCCAGGAAGAATCAAAGAGTTGTTCAGTCAGCGTCCTGTCCTGGGAGCAGGTGAGCCGGCTGAATGAAGTTCTTACCGATGTCGTTCCCGTTCACGGACGTGGGAACTTTCCGACTTTAGAGGTACGACTCAAAGACATTGTGGCTTGGGTGCGCTCCCGTCTGGAGCTAAGTGGCATTAGAGTAAAAGACATACGTTTAAATGGCTCCACTGCCAGTCATGCGCTGGTGCAGGACATTGGCTGGAACTACAAAGATCTGGACATCATTTTCAGGGTGGACCTACCCCATGAGACTGAGTTCAGGGTGATTAAGGATGTGGTGCTCGGAACCCTGCTGGACTTTCTGCCCGAGTGTGTGAACAAAGAGAAAATTACACCCATGACTCTTAAAGAGGCTTATGTCCAGAAGCTGGTTAAGGTCAACACAGAGCAGGACCGCTGGAGCCTCATCTCCCTTTCCAACAACAACGGCCGCAATGTGGAGCTTAAGTTTGTGGACTCAATACGGCGGCAGTTTGAGTTCAGTGTGGACTCCTTTCAAATCATGCTGGACTCCATGCTCTCATACTATGACCTAGCACAGGCCCCCATGTCACAAGCCTTTCACCCTACTGTATATGGGGAGAGCATGTACGGGGACTTTAAGGTGGCCTTGGGTCATCTGCGGAACAAGCTCATTGCCACCAAGCGGCCCGAAGAGATACGAGGTGGTGGCCTGCTGAAATACTGCAACCTACTTGTGCGGGACTTCCGCCCTGCCAGTGAGGAAGAATTTAAAGGCCTGGAACGCTACATGTGCTCCCGCTTCTTCATCGATTTCCCCGACATTGGTGAGCAGCAGCGCAAGGTGGAAGCCTACCTACAGAGCCACTTCATTGGTGAGGAAAAGAGCAAGTATGACTACCTCATGATCCTGCGGCGTGTCATCAATGAGAGCACGGTGTGCCTGATGGGCCATGAACGACGGCAGACCCTTCATCTCATTTCTCTAATGGCCTTCCGGGTTCTGGCAGAGCAGAACGCCATCCCAGACGCTTCATGTGTCACCTGCTACTATCAGCCGGCGCCTTATGTCCGTGACCACAACTTCAGCAACTACTATGTGGCCTACCAGAACATTCCAACATGGCTGCCGTGTAACTGACAAAACAAACAAAGAGATAGGATGTAGAATAGGGCACTGTCGCTGCTGCTTCTGAGAAGAAGAAAAAGAAAAGAAAGGGGGGAGGGGCTTAAAAAATTATAGAGGCAATAATGCTATGTTTTCTCTCAAGGCACAATTATATTTAAGTGGACAAGTGTTTTGCTTTGTTTTTGCAATCCTTTCTCATTCCTTATCTACAGACATGTTTGGGTCATTGAAAAGAAAGTGATATTTTAAGTGTTCTTTAGATTTGTTTCTTGTGTTGTTTGGTTGTTTTCCTGTACTTTAAGCTTATTCTACAGTTGGAAGTTCAGTTTTGTGCCTTACCTTTTTGGAAGGTTTATCCCTCAGTAATTTAAGTATGGGCTATTTTTTTTTGTGGAAAGGCAGTTTAAGAAGAAATGTTGTAACCCTAAGTAATTGGAGTTAAAGAAAATCATGAAAAGGTTAGGAAAAAAAAAAATTAAAATACATCTAAAAACTGTGATTGAGAAAGGGATAACGTGAAATGTTACAACCCCCCAAAAAAAGTAGAGCACTGGTGTTAAAACATTTGGTCACTGCGGAGGGACTAGTGGTGGTACAATTTTGGTCACATCAGTAATTTAAGGAAAAATAAAAATATTATTTTAAGTTCTTTTGACGTGTAAATAGCGCTTACACAGACAGACTGCTCTCCGTGATATCCCAGCAGTGCCTGTAAACTGTGCGTTTTTTATGTTTTCACTGTGAATATAAGTTGAGGACGAGCCCCCCTCCTCTATATTTTCCCTGTGTACTGTGTCCTGCATGTTTCAGCCCTGACTGGTTTTGAGACAAACTTTCAGGTAGACACTTCAAGCCTCGTGCAGACGAACTTCCTATGTAGATGTGTGGTTAAAGCCTTGCTGACCCTCAGAGGTGCCTGGCTATTGCGGCAAGTCTGAGTGACTTTGGCCCTGCAGTGAGAACCAGGCTGCCTTGAGCGAAAGCTGACTGGGAGTCCTCGAGTGTCAGGCCCACAAGCTGTCCCTTCCCTTATAAGGAGCAGCACATGGTGGGGACCACTTGGTCGTCCCTCACAACCATTGCAGGCTTGACAGCAGCCCTGAAATGGGATCCTCCTCTGACGCAGCTTTCAAACTTACAGGCCTAACTATAATTATCCTTTTTTTTTTTTTTTTTTTTTTTTTTTGGAGGAGGTCCCTTCAGTTAGGAACCAGGGATGGTTGTGTGTGGAGCAGCAGCAGTAACAGCAGCCTTTTTCTTAAGTGCATGCTGGGATCATGCAGTGTTTGAACCCCTTTTGTGGTCATGGCAGGATAAGACATCTCACAGTTTTACTGGTATGCTGGGAGAAACGCCTGCATGTCTTACTGAGAGAAAAGTGGGTGCCTGTGCCAGCCCCCCCCCCCCCCCCCCCCCCCCCCATCAATACTGTTTTTTACAGGCTACAACTGACTTGAGCCATTTGAAAGACCACCCTCACACCCGATAATTCTATTTCTAGTCAAACCCTATTATTAGCTGTGAGTTTTTAAAATCTGCAGTGTGGCACTACTAAAAGACCTCGGTTAAAACTGTCACCTTGGCTGTTCCCCTCTGGTGATGTCATAGCATTCAGGTCTGAGGGGGGGGGGACGAAATATTCTCATTTGTTAAGTGGCAGCTGCTGTACATCAGCTCCCCTGGTCCCCCCTCCGTTTCTCTCCTTTCTGCTGCTGCTCTTCCCAGCGCTTCTTGTTTATACCAGATAACCAGTACTGCCTGTTATCTGGCTGCCTTACAGCTCCCGGCTGGTTGGAGAAGTGGTCCGAGGACGGTCACCTCGGCCTCCTCTGCAGGTCATGCCCAGGGCAGGGGCGGGGTAACATAATGTGCTGACTCGGCTTCAGTAAAGAGACTGCCTTAGCCCTTTACTTTTTTAAATATCAGAATTATTTAAACAACAAAAGAGTGGTGCCACAGTCTTTTTCACTATGGACCAAAACATCTCTATAACCAGCAACTGATACCAATAAGTGCCTTTTTCCACTTTCTTGAGAGTGATGTAGCTTTTTAATGTTTTGTTTTGTTTTTGTTCTTTTGGCCCTTTTTATTTAAACCCCAATCAGAAGGGACTGTGTTATGTACAGATGTTATTAGTTTGTTATCAGCCCATTATAACCTTGTGAAATCTGGTAGATGTGTAGTTTTGTTTCCCTTTATCCCTTATTTTAGTTTTCTTCCTTAACCTGTCAGTATTTTCAGCCATTTAGTTTACCATTCTTTTCTTATAATTTTGGGTCCTTACATTGTCATACTCTTGACTCAAAGAACTCTGACATGAAGGCTCCAAACCTATTAATTTTTTTGCTTTCTTTTTTTTCTTATTTGCCAAATTCTGTCCCCATCCAAACCAAAGCAATACCTGAAGTGCACTCAGGAGCCACATGGTGGCAGTGTAGCTGGAGGTCCTTCAGCAGAGACCCCCTACAAATGGAAGCACTTTACAGAGGCCTTAAATTACTTCAAAACCAGCCACTTGAGAAAAACAGAGGTTTGATGTTGTGTGAGGAAGTTGAGCTGGGACTCAGGGACATGCGTGGGTTTTTGAGGACTTATTTCGTCCCTCTGTTTTCTTTTAGAGAAGGGATGAAAGTCCCTCATCTCCTTGCTTTGCAAAATAAGCTCCCAACACTCACCTGAGTCTTTGTGCTTTCTCTCTGGATTGTGATTCAGACTCTTTTGTCTCTGTTTGACTTCTTTTGAACCTGGTGTAGATGAGACAAGCCAGCAGACTTCAGATTGTTTAGGCTGGGCTGCAGGAGATATGCCTGGCCTTGTTTGATGCCAACAGCTGGTTTTATCACCACTTGCTTAAGTTCTCTGTATTCAGTGAAATCAAGGGAGAAACATATGGCTGATCAATTCAGAATCACCCAATCACACCCTGGTTTAATTATCTTTATTGAGTGATGACCCGTCTTATTCCTGATGATGCGTTTTCAGGTCGTAGTCTGTTATCTATCGTTCTCAAGACAAACTATAGGTAAATAAAAACCCATCCACAAGTTATCCAGTAATGTAATGGTAAAGACGGCCTAAAATGTTAGGTGTCATTTTTCTTGTGTATGTCCTCCAAAACTTCACATTTAAGGTTTGCAGTTTGAATCTGACAATTGACAAACCCGTTCCTGTAAATGAAATGGTGTGCTGTCTTTGCAGATTTGAATCCCGTATATTAGATAGAAACCTTTCAGTGAAGGACTTTGGAGGATTTATAAATGATTTAATTTTTTGACCCCACATCTCCACTATTCTCTGCTGTAAATTTGACAGTGTTATTAGTCCTCATGCTTCTCACTCCCCTCGCCTTTGGTTGTCCCACATTTTTGGGTCTTTGTATTTTCAGTACAGTGTATCCTGTAATTGAATTCTTTGCTGGGGAATTTTCAGAGAAAGCTGTGGATGAGATGTATTTAGTGGTGACTCTTGTCTGATGAACAAGTCTCTTGCCATAGGAATGTGAAGGAATTCGAAGGAGGAAGGTCTCCTACAGTTTCTGTACAAAGTGTTTGGTTTTTTTTTTCTTCTTTGCAGCAGATTTTGTGTTGATGTACATGTTGTGGAGGTGTGTGCGCTAGTGAGAATTTGTTTGCATGTGTGTATGAAGGACACTTGTGGCTTTACGTAATAGAAAATCAATGAAAATTTGTGGCACTATATATATTCATATATTATTTGAAATAGTTAATGCGAAAGACCTTTTTTGTCAGCTTTGTGATTGTGGCCGGGACTTTGATGGTTACATCCGATTACTATTTCATTTATCAGCACTTTTACCTCACTTGGGTTTTTCCTTTGAATGGAAATATTCATGTATAATGTGTTTGAAGAGAAAATGATAAATAAAGAGTATTGAATGCAGCTACTGTGACTTCAAATTCTGTTTAATGGACAATTCATATTTAAACTTGCAGTTTCATTTAAACATATTTTGTCACTTGTCATCTGCTGAATGTATAACTGTAATGCTAGGAAGTGGTATGAACAACTTTCTAAAAAAAAACAAAAGAAAATCTTAAACGTTAGGTTTTATGTTGATCCTTCATTTATTAGACAAAAGAAGAGTTGAGTGAATTGTTAAACAGAAACAAAAATTATATTAAAAGGTTAGGTTTGGGTATAAAAACAACATCCAACTAGGGCTGCCAAGGATGGGGCATGACTCATGTAGCTGAACTTTCCAATAGTGATGTCACTCTTAAAGAACAACATGAGTGGAAAAAATAAAGCATTTTCCCTGTAGATCCTCCATGTAAGTCAGTGATGTTTCCATCAGAGAATCCTGTTTTTAAAGAATGGAATTTGTATTCTTTACCTTATTTAAGGTCTGAAGGGTCTTTTTCAAGTTTGCTTTCGGTTTTAGGAGAAAAACAAATTCAGAATGAGTTAGATCAAGGCTGTTAAGGAGTCTGCGGAAGAATATCTGGTCTGGAAAAAAAGTATAATTATCTGCCCCTACAATCTACTCAATGATTCAGCATCAGTAGGAATGATTCTTTGGAGGAACCACACTTGGAGAAAAGAGACTGGAACGAAGAGGAATAAAGATATTTAACCAAAAACAATCATGGTGGTAGTAGTGAACCGCTAAGAAGTAAACAACTAATTGAAATGTATTAATAATAATACGCCTTAGCTTGAGAAGCGCACTGGTGACCCACATGATGGCTAAGAAATGCACAACGATTGCTTAACTTTCTGGCTACTTGATGTAGTGTGTCCTACTGGACAGAAGACGTACTGTACGAGCTGTCTGTTCTACGAAAAACTAACAAGATGTTTTTTGCGCAGACCATGCAATGCTACAATCCTTTTTTATGGGGCATTAAAAGCCCCCATCACGTGAATTTAAAGAGCAATTAGACATTTCAGGGCTCTTACTTGGAGACCCCTGCTAATTATTTTGACCACAGTGGTTAAATATGTATAATCTTTACACCTGTTTGTGAATGAACAGATTATGGATGGATTGTTCTAGCTACACAAAAATGTCAGTAGAAGTGTTTCAATTAACCTGCATGTTTCGTTGTAACGTTGATTTCTTTGTGTCACCACACTTCCCTGACCTACTGACATGTCTTGTGGTTTGTCTTGATTGTGATTTTCAACCGTAGATGTTTTCCATCTCCATCACTGGGGAAGTGGTTAGCGGGGAGTGCGGTCCCCTCGGCGTTCAGAGCTT